CCGAAACGTCAGCCTTCCCGCTCCTCTGATGCTGCTTGGCCTGCTGTGTTCACCTGGCTCTACACCTTGTTATCTCTAGCAAGCTATTGGTTTTAGTTACCAAATTCAGTGATACATGAGCAGCTTTGCTTTTTTTTTTGCAGAAACCGTAGAAGTTTTGAGCGTTAATAAATTGCTGTAAAAATGTTGCTTGTATTTTATTTGGTAAATTTTAGTTTTGTCAGGTTTGAAACTGGTGTAACATGTGAAAATGTTATCTGTAACATAGGTAGAAATTTCATTTTAAATTTCGATGGTTCTACACTTGTCTTTTAATTGTAAAGGGACAATACTGTTGTGTTTTATATATATGTTTTATTATTCTACTATATCTTGATTTTTTTTTTAAAAAAACCAAACCATCTTGCTCTCATTTAATGTGTACCAAGAAAAGAGAAACAGTAATTTCCTGTTCACACGTGAGACAAAATTACCTGTCATCATGGACTCTTATTCTGCACAGCAGCCTCTTTTCTGTATGGTCGAATGTATTGGATCCTGTTAGTGTACATGTATGTTTATTTTGGACCTGTAAGTTTTCAACAAGACAGTATTGTGCTTTGACCTTGCCATTCATAATTGTGCATCCTTAGATTCAAAAAGGCAAACTTCATGGAAGCATTGATGTTGGATTGTCAGTAATGTCAATCAAAAAAAAGGCACGTCGGATAGATCTTGACACAGAAGAACATATCTATCATCTAAAGGTATGTAAACATAACCAGTAGGAAACGTATTTATTATCTGAAGGTGTGACATCATGAGAAATAGGAGCAGGAGTAGGCCATTCAGCTCGCTGCAATTTTTTCCACTATTTCATGGCTGCTCTGATTGTAACCTCAATTCCAGTTTTCTGTCTGACCCTCATATTTGTTAACTTGTCTGTTTATCCACATCTGTATAGCTCAGCCTTGAATATATCCAGAGGTCCAAAGTTTTCCACTGCTTTCTGGGGAAGGGAATTCCAAAGACTAACAACCTTGTGAGAGATGAAATTCCTGCTTGTCTCTGCCTTAAATGGGAAACAACTTATTTTGAAACACTTTTTTCTCCTGTTTTAGATTCCCTCATGAGGAGAAACATCCGCTCAGCATCCACACTATCAAATCCCCAGAATCTCATGTTTTTCAATAAGATTGCCTGTTATTCTTCTAAACTCCAATGGGTAGAGACATAACCTGCTTAATTTTTCCTTGCAACACCTTCATCCCAGGACTTAATTTAGTGAATGCGCTCTGATGCACTTCCAATGCAAGTATATACATCCTTAAACAAGGAGGCAAAGGCCCAGATCCTCCAGTCTCTAGAAAGTTAAAGTGCCCTGAAAGATGCATGTTGGGACCCCTCAGAAGCTCAATTGCAATGATTTCATGGAATTATCCAGAAAGTTTAAACTTCTGATGAGAAATCTCCCATTTACAATGGACAAAGTTACCATGGATCTCAAAGGTCACCCCATACACAATAGCTGGAATACATCTCCTGTTCTGCCCTCTTTGTTTTGTTTGTTATTTTCGTAGTAATGTTATGAAGTCTAATTAGTTATATATATTTAATATGCTGCTTATATTTTCCCAGTCGCCTTTTAATGTCTTGTCCCAGTTTAGAAAACAAAAAAAATTATAAAATCACCAGTCACCTACCTACTCACCTATTTAATGCCACCAGAAAACAGTTCTCAAGTCTCGCTGTCCTTGACTAACCATTTCAAACTGCTTAATTTAGCAAAAAGGACTGAAAGCACCTCCTCTATCACTATACTAAATTCCTTCATTTGTCAAATTCAGAGTTAAGTATTTGATTTCACTGCACTCGGACAGAGGTGTAACTTTGTGCTGTTACAGAAGTATTGACAGACACCTTGTTAAATAAAAATTGTCAACATGTTTTTGTGTGGACAGGTAAAATCTCAGGAAGTGTTTGATGCTTGGGTAACAAAATTGCGCCATCATCGATTGTACCGTCAAAATGAAATAGTGAGATCTCCCAGGGATGCCAGCTTTCATGTCTTCCCAACCTCACCAAAAACTGATTCTTCACCAGTTCCAGCTACCACTGTTTTGGATGTAAAGGTGAGTGATTTTAACTGATCTTTATGGCATGTACCATTTAAATTTGAATTTTCCAGTGGCATTTGAACTAAAACAATTCAGATTCAGTTGACAGATATGTCTCTTATTGTGCATTTTCCCTTTATAGTGGCATTCACAAATTGTTTTCTTTTGTTTGTCAATGACAAAATGAATACCAGCATTTGGATCTTAATCATGGTTGTAAAAAAAATCCAGGTTGCATGTTGTTGTATGTCTACCTGAGGATAAACCTGTGGCTTTGTTTTCTTTCCATAACTTATTCTATAATATACTTATTTTTAAAGTATCCCACATGATTGCTACCATAAGATGGATGGTCTGTTTTCTGGTTCATACCAGTGGGACATTGCAGCTGTTGTATGCTGATATTTGTATGTAAAGTAGAAAGACTGGCTATTTAATTTTAAACTCAACATTTTTCCTCCGTATTTGTGGAAATGTATCAGTCTGCTCTGAGAATACAGAGTCACAAAATGGTTACAGCACTGAAGATCATTCAGCCACTTATGCTTGTGCTAGCTGTTTGAAAGAGCAATTCACCTAGTTCCACACCTCCACCTTCTCCCTGTAACTCTGCACGTTTTTACCTCTCTGAAAATAATCCAGTTTCCTTTAGTGTGCCTAAAGTGATCCTGCATCACCATACACTCTGACAGCATGGTCCAGATTGTGGCTACTTGCTAGGTGAAAGAATCTTTCCTCCTGTCCCTGTTGCTTCTTTGCCTACTACCGTAAATCTGTAGCCTCTTAATCCCTCCACCAATGGAACAGTTTCTTCTTATCTGGGACTCTGTCCAGACTCTGTGTGATTTTTAGATAGCTTGAGCACATCTCCTGTTAGCCTTTTCTTCTTCAAGGAAAAGAGCCCAAATTTCCAATTTGATCCTTGGAACCATTCTGGTCAACCTTTTATGTACTCTGTCTGACGCTTTCACAGCATTCCTAAAGTACGGTATCCTGAATGGGACACGGGTTTCCCATTGAGGCAGAAATATTGTACTATACAATTCTCCTGTAGCTTCCTTGCTCTTGTACTATATATTCCAGTTATAATCATAGAATATTGTATGCTTTATTCATCGCTCTCTTGACCTGTCCCGTCAACTTTGATTTGTGCAATACATACCCAATCACTTTAACTCCTTCACCTATTTAGAATTATGCCCTTTAATTTGTATTGTCTCTGTATTCTTTCTACCAAAATAAATTATTATTTGAAGATTCTTTCAACTCACTGAAGTTAAATGGACTTTCTGTAGTTGTTGAGCTTACCTTCGCATCCTTTTTTTGAAAAAGAATGGAACATTTGTCATTCTCCAATTCTCTGGTACCACCCCTGAATGAAAGGCAGACTGGAGAGTTATAGCAAGGCCTCTGCAGTTTCTGCTCTCACTTTCCTCAATATCTTTGAATGCATCTCATCTGGTCCTGGGTCTCAGCAAATTTTAAGTACAGACAGCCTATCTAATATTTTATCTGTATCAATTTCAAACCCCTCAAGTGCCTACATTACCTTCTCTTTCAGCAGTGACTTCTTCCTTGGTAAAGCCAGAGCAGAATATTCATTTAATGCCTCTGCCAAAGCCACATGTCACAATGTATAAATACCGTCTTTGGTCCCTTATCGACCCTACACCTTCTTTAACTATTTAAACACCTATAGAATACTGCTGGATTCTCTCTTATATTAGTTGCCACTCTCTCTTTTTGCTTCTGTTACTTGCTTTATTGATTTCCCCTCTGAACCTTTAATATTCAGCCTGCTTCTTTGTTGAATTGATCACCTCACCTGATATTTAACGTAAACATTTTTTTTCTTCTTTATTTTGTTCCCCATGTATATTTATTTTCGCCCAAGGAGCCCTGAATTTGTTTGCTGTATATTTCTCCCACATGGGAATATACGCACACTATGGCTGTCTTATTTCTCCGTTAGAGAGGCCATTGTTTGATTACAGTTTTGTTTGCCAGCATTTAAGTTAAATTTATCTGGTTCAGGTTCACTGTTATTCTATTAAAGTTGACACCACCCTCCCCCTCCCCCTCCCCCTCCCCCAGTGAATTATACGATGATCATTGTCCCCTTAATGTCCCCCTACAGGCACTGACTGGGGCCTCAATTGTTTACAATCTGTATCAGTGACTTGGATGAAGGGTCTAAATGTAAGGTTGCTAAATTTGCTGATGACAAAATAATATATAGGAAGGTAGGTTGTGAAGACTCTCTAAAATGAGTCTAGATAGTTTAATGAGCGAGCAGAAATTTGGGAGATGAAGTATAGTGTCTGAAGATGTGAACAGCTCCTACTGAGTGGGAGAATAGAAAAGTACAATGTTATTTAAATAAGAGAGGTTGCAGAAGTCTGAGTACAGAGCAGTATGGGTGTGTTGGTACATGAATCACAAAAGGTTACTACACAGGTACAGCAAGTGTTGAAGAAAGAAATTGGAATGCCCTTTTTTTTTATTACAAGTACAATGGAATTTATAAATTGGAGAGTTCTCTTACAGTTGTACAGAGCATTTGTGAGACCACATTTGGAATTCTATGTACAGTTTTGGTTTCCTTATTTAAGAAAACACATAAGTAGGCTAGACTCTCTGCAATTGTCTGCTTCCTGGGATGAAAGTGTTGGCTTAGGGGAAATGGTTGTCCCTGTAGCCATTGGAGCTCAAATGAATGAGGTGATCTTGTTGAAGAATATAAGGTCTTGAGGGGACGTGACAGAGTGGGTGTTGAAATTGCATTTCCCTTAGCGAAGAGTCTAGAAGTAGGGTAATTTCTTTCAAAAACAAGGCTGTTCCAATTTAATACTGAGGTAAAAAAATTTCTGAGAGTTGGCAGTCTGGAATTCTGTTCCCCAAAAAGTACAGTGGCAAGATCATTGAGTACCTTTAAGGCTAAGTTAGGTAGATTTGTGACTGACAAGGAAGTCAAAACGTATGGGGTAGACTAGAAAGTTGAGGCAACAGTCAGATCAGTCATGAACTTATCAAATGGCAGATCAGGCTTGGAGTCGGGGTGTTGCCAAATGGTCTACACTTGTTACTCTGTAATTCATGCATCTCTCTGTAATTTCTTTGCAAACTGTTTTCTCCATATCCTCCCAATGGTTGGAAGTCTTTTGACGACTCCAAACACTGTATTTGTACCATTTTTCTCTTTAGATTCAACCACATAATGCTGTCCTTGATTCATCTGAGAAATCCACTCCCTCCAGCATTGTTGCATTCTGCTGAATCAATATTGTTGCATTCTGCTGAATCAATATTGTCACCTCTTTCATCATGTTCCCATCTTTGCTGAGCACCTTGTATCCACGAATAATTATTATCCAGTCCTATGCTTCTTTGAGCTAGGTCTTTGTAATAACAAGACCATCATACTTCCACGTGGCAGTGTGTGTACTTTGGATACTGGAATCAGTAAATGGGATCCCCTCATTTGCCTGTGTGTAACATTTAAAGATATAGCCAGACTAATGGTTAAAAAGGCCTTTTGAAGAATAAATTATTTTTACAGCACTGTCTGTCAGGATTTATATTTAGATATCAGATATTCTCTATGCTTATAGAGTTTAATGAGTAAAATGTATTTTTATTCCGTACATTTTGAAATAGGCTGAATCATTTTTATCGAGCTTAATGAAATTTGCTATTTGTTATGAGGAGCCATGTTTGGCACCTTGGTTTTAAAGGCCAGTTACTTTTTGAAGACAAATATTTTTGTGTCGAACATCTGACGGGAGACTGTCTGGAGATGACGATAATTTGGTTGCAGCTACACAGCCAGTAAGGTCTTGTAGTTTTTCCTTGGGTACAGGTAGATACAATAGAAAATGTATTCATCAGTAGAGCCACAACAGACTAAATATATTTATTTCTGGAACTTTTCCAAGTCAACATGGGTGGAAATAGCATGCTAAGACAAGATGGCACTGCAAGTATCTATTGAAATTCTTCATTTAGATCTTTATTATCATCAGACCTGCTGACCTGTGAATTATGTAGGATTCTTTCTTTGTGCCCTTGCATACTATTGTATTGTTCCAGCAGTGTCACTTGCCCTTTGGAATCTAGTCCAAGTAATAATGCATGAGTTATATCGTTGAGTGCGACAGATTATTTGTATGCTGAGTCTGATCCTGTCCTTAATTGGCATCAATGCCTTCAATATCCAGCACAATATCGACCAAAATCAGCAACCTGGTCTGTTGCTTTTTGATCCACAACCATTTTGCTGCAATCAGCCAACACAGAAAAGGCTGTGGATAAAATGTGTGAATGCCTCATCTGTCACTCACTGAAAAAGCTTGCTGGAGAATAGAGAACTCTATTGTAACTGGTTTAGTGATAATAGGTTATTGTAATCTTTAATATTAAATGTCAGATATTTATTCCATTTGTTTCTTGCATATTTATGTAGACAGCAGCAATAAATACAGTTGCATGAAGTAATGCTTAGCTTTTTCATATTGATTTGCACCAGTGTACAATTTGCCAAGAGAAAGCTAAGTGAAAAAGCAAACACAATATGTAATTGTGAACTTCACATTTGTCATTCACAGATAATCAGTAAAGCACATTACCTGAACTTGTTGAGTTTAATTGTGTTTCCAGAGTTCTGTTAGAAAGATACTGAATTACTGAATGCCATACCCTAGGACCAAAGCCAGGGGCTGACCCAGGGACTTGGAGTTGCATTTTGCTGACAGGAGCCAATTAAATGGCCTGTTAGCAGCAGCCATTGCTGAGCTTGCAATGGGGAGGGGGGGGGTGGGGCGGGGGGGGGGGGGGGGTTGGTTGGTTGGTTGGTTGGTTGGTAGGTAGGTATAAGGATGTGTCAGTGCATGTTTATTGTTGGGCCAAATGAGGTCGCTAACAAGTTGCATTGCTATCCGCTGGCCATTGCCACTTGGGATCTCCTAGGAGTGTCTCAAAAAAAAATGGGAAGGCCCCAGTGGAGACCGGCAGGGTCT